AAAAAATGCTTAAATGAAAGAGCCTTTTTGGTTTTCAATTCTATCTGTGAACTATATCACCTGGCAAGTTCTTTTGTTTACTGTCCAGGTGCAAGCCATGGGAGGTGGTTCATACCTGTAATCCCAGCACAAATGGAGAGTGAGGCAGGAGGATTTCAAGTTCACACCCAGCCTAGGCAATTTAGTGACACCGTCTTAAAATTTAAAAAAACAAACTGGTCTGAAGTTGGAATCCTTAGACTTTTGTATCCAGTCACCATATTCAATGTCTGGCATTTCCTGCTGTTAAGTTTCATCACAGGCAAGGCTTGTAACCCTAGTACTTAGTATAGTACCTTGAACATAGGTGTTTAGTAATTATTAAATGATCACTTCCATTGGGTATGGTGGCACAGCCCTGTAATCCCAGCACTTTCAAGAAGCTTGAGACGGGAAGATCTCTGCAGGTTCGAGACCAGCCTGTGCTACATAATGAGTTCAAAGATATCCTGACTATACAGCAAGAACTTGTCTCAAAAAACCAAAAACAACAGAAATGACTATTTCCATTTGGGATGTATTTTATTTTTATACCAGAATGAGTTGGAACTCTTCTTTTGCAGCAAAACCAAGAGAATATCTAATCTCTCTGTTGGAACGTCTGAGACTTGCTAAAGTCACTGGTGTTGCATTTCCTTTCTTCATGGATAACTCCAACATAGTGGCTATGTTTGACATGATGGACCCCTCGGGCAAAGGCACCATTACATTTGCACAGTATAAAGAAGGTCAGTGTCTTCCACGTGTTGAAGTCACAGCAGATGGTCACCCCATAACTTTCTCCAGCTGGAAACACTTTTCGCTTCGTGAATGTTCATTTCTTCTCATTCTGACTTTTACAGCCCTTAAGAACCTGGGTCTGTGTATTGCAGATGAAGTTTTAAATGACGATGGACACATAATAACTCTGGATAAATTCAGGGATGATGTGTAAGTTTATTTTTTTAATGAATATTTTAGAAACATGGTATGGCTCTGAAGTATTACTAATACCACGGCAAAAGGTTCCTATCTTTTTAGAGAAACATTTCATTCCCTTGAAACGTTCAGCAACTAGAGTCCCCCTTTGGGAGGGAGAGGAAATGGAGTTAAATTTGTTCTTTTCTCAGTGGGAAACCTCAGCATCTCTCAAAGGATAAGGTGAAGAACCTGATCTCTAGAACTACCTGAAAAGCTCTGGACTCAATACACCGATGGGAAAGTCTGTATAAAATATACAGTATTAGGATGAATCTCAAATATTTCCTCAATATTACTGCCAAGTAAATGTTTATCAATAGTAGAGGTTATGTGCTGCCTAACAATTTTAGATTTGAGATACTACAAAATTAAAAGTTTTAACTAAGTGCTAAATCAGGAAAAACTGGAATAAAATTTGGTAGATGTGGAGAGCCTTGAGTTAATTTAGCTCAGTTTGTTTAAGTTTTACTCTCTGAGGATTTATTAATCAAGAAATCATTATTTAATACAACCCAATGCCAAGGAAAATTAGAAGATAAAAGTTAAGATTTTGTCTCACCTTCAATTATATAAATATTAAACAAAAATATGTAATTATAGTCCTTAGCACAGGGGCAGCATTAGGACTGTGGCCCTAAATGTTTCGT